AAAAAAAGAAAATGTTTGGACTGTCCTCTCATAGTAAGAGGAAATAAGTGCTGTATTCTGAAAAGGGTTTCTTTGCCAAGTTTTATTGTATTTGATACAAAACCAGTTTTAAGTTTGTTCTTTTCTTAGATCAACTCCTTTCCCCTCAGCATGACAGGGACTGTCTCTAACTGTAAGCCTGTGATAGAAAATAGCAATCATAGACAACCGTAGATCTGTGTGATTTCACCCAAATTCTGTTGATGGTGTAAGATGACATTTGGAATTCATTGGAGGATCCTGGAAATGGAATGAGGTCCATTACCAGTAACTGACAAGCATCATTTCATACAACAGCTGTGTAAACACTGCATGAACTCTTCAAATATAACAAATGTGAAGTGACAATATACTAAACAGATTCTTGTAGTAGGATCTTGTTTTCAGTTTTAGTTTATTACATTTTATTTTTTTTTTAAGGAGTCGAACTTTTTAGAAACTTACTGTAAATTTATTTTGCCTGTAGGGTAGAATACATCCATTCCATATTTTGGTTGCATTAGAAACCTACAAAGCTGGACATGGTAGCAGAGGGAAGCTTTGGTGGCGTCCTGATGAAGACATTTTAGAAGCTTTAGATGCCTCATTTTACAAAACTTTCAAGGTAGTATAGTTCTTCAATTTGGTAAGCTTTTTAAGAATTGCCTGTTTTGTAAAAGTTTAAAAGTTCGTTGTGTGGATAACAATTTTGAAACTATTTAAAAATGTCTTAGGAATTAGAATTTTATTAGAGAATCAAAACTTCATTATATATTCTAATTTTAGCAACTTTATTGTCCTAATGTTTTCCCAGAAAGAATAAAAATAAGGCCCACTTTTAGGGGTGAAAGCAGAAGAAGGAATAAGACATCAAGATATTAATTATGTGTACCTGTTTTCTTTTTTTCCTTTTAGGCAGTTGAACCAACAGGAAAACGCTTCTTGCTTGCAGTTGATGTCAGTGCATCAATGACACAAAAAGTTCTGGGCAGTGTGCTCAGTGCTAGCACAGTTGCAGCAACAATGTGTATGGTAAGGCATTGAGCCTATTTTATTTATGACTACATGCGGCTTGAGCTGCTCTTTTGATACAAAGATGCTCTCATTTCTGGTTAGAAGTCAGAAGGAAATGGATACATAATATTTCTTGGGTACAGAAGATGTGACCTGTATCAGTGGTAGATCAGGTGCTTAAAGACAACCAAATTTAGAAAGATCAATTTGAAGGAGTTGATTTCCAGTATAAATCAAAGTAGAGATCAAAGTTGCTTTTTCAGTTAGCTAAGACTACATTTCAGTTCCTTTCACAAGCATTCATAAACCAATACAGATTAGATTAAGAAATTTTACAGTAATTCTTGTGTGCATTTGAGTTCCTTTCCCCTCAATTTGATATTCTAAAGCTTCTTGTGTATTTACGTTATAGAAGAGTTGAACTTTTGTTTGTGTTTAAAAAAGTCGAGCATTTTATATCAGAAGGAAGAGAAGACATATGAAAGTATCTTTACTTCCAGTAACTAGAGCAGTTCCTTAGCTCTGGTTTTTGCAGTGGTTAATTGCAGTAATGTTACAGACTGTCTAAAGCGTTGAGTGAAGCCTCAGTGTGTGTGAGAAGCCGTACTGACTTGAATACAAAAGGTTATGTCATGTTTGTGTGGTTGACAGGAAATGTCTTAATTCAGACATTAAAAATGCTAAATTGATATAACTAAATTATTTTCTCTCTTCTTTCTCAGGTTGTTGCACGTACTGAGAAGGATTCCCATATTGTTGCCTTCTCACATGAAGTGGTCCCTTGTCCAGTGACAGCTGATATGATGTTACCTCAAGTATTAGTGAAAATGTATGAAGTATGTAAAAAAACCAAACCAACAATTCAGGAAAGGGCTGTTACATCAGTTTAAAAATCTCAGCAGTTACATTGTATTTTCTTTGTAATCAGTTCTAGGACCTTGTTTAGTCTGTATCAATGTACTAAAACTGATTTTTTTTTCTCCATTTATTTAGTGGAAGTCCAGCAAATGTCATTTCAACTGATGGCTATAAAATATTGCAATTTAGAATGGCAGTGTTAAGTCACAATGAGGAAATATAGAAAATAGAAAAGATTTTTAAAGAACCAACCAATCATCCAAAAAAACACGGACAGAACTGAGATAAAATTAATAAGTGAGCTGTTGTTTAACAAAGAAGCCTCTATGTGTGATAAAACATGAAACTTAAATAAAAAGTAATTCTTGCATGGTTTACTAATTTCTGTGTTAACGTGTTCTATGTATTTATTCTTTTTCTTTTAAGATTCCAATGGGTACCACTGATTGTTCCCTTCCAATGATATGGGCTCAGAAAACTCAGACAGCTGTTGATGTCTTCATTGTACTTACTGATAATGAGACCTTTGCTGGAAATATGCAGCCTGCCATGGCTCTGAGAGAGTACAGAGAGGTAAATAAGCTTCTGACTGTTTGTAATTGAATAATACAGTACAAAGTAAATACCCGTTCTAGAAATGTTTTAGAGACCAAACTAGATGTGGGGGTTTGTCAGTAGATAGTTATGTATTGTTAAAAACTGATATATCCTGCAGCTAGGCAGAATTAGTGCACATATTGCACATATTTAAAACTACTGAATTGCTGAAAAGATCTGTAATTATCCCACAGTGCACAGAATATTGCAATCAATGAAAATTTGTTTGGTATTCGGGGAATACATTAATTTTTGCATTCTGTGTATAATTGATTGAATGAGGTTTTTGTTGTAAGTTCTTACAGAATGAAATTCAGCTCACAGAATTAAATTTAAATTGTATGGCTGCAGTAGGTACTGCAAAGTTTAAATGAAACAATGAAGATGAGCCTTTAGGGAAGCTGACAATAGCATGAGCTGATGGTGTCTTGTAAAGAAAGCTCATTATGTTTTAAAGGGGGTACTCTAAGATGTGCATCTTCATCATTTTGAAATTAAACTGGAAAAATACCTTCACAAAATACCAAGCATGTTGCTATTAGAAGCTCTTGTTTTGTCAGCAAACAATCTTTTTTGCTTTAAGGGAACTATTTTTTAAACTAGAAAAATACTTTTTGGCAAGCATGTCTGTATGGACATTAATCTGCTGTCATGTCTACCCAGTTGAAATTAGGGTCTTTAAAAATCCTTAACATGCCCACTGTGTTTTTGTTTCCTTAGTTGAGAGTAGCTCCCATTCATAAACTTGTGCTTGAAACAAATAGTTCCTGTACCCTGGCCTTCACGCCACTTGCATTGCTTTACCTTACAGCTTACTGACCTGCAAATTCAGTTCATTTAGCAGAATTTTCCAGGCTACAGCTGTTGTATTTGTTCAACCAGCATTTGGAAATCCTTGTCTTAGACAAAAACACACTCTGACTCCTGCTTGATTATTTGATAATTATTATTGAAAGATTCCTCTCAGAATGAACTGCAGAGTAGCAAATGCTATATTTACACTGGAAATTATCTATGAATCTTAGTATTGCAGCAAAGTTGTGCTTACATACTTCGTTCTAATTATTTCCATTTATTTAAATGCATATACTGCAGGTTAAATGCAGTATTAACAGTCTGCAATTCTGGTTACGGCCTATCTAGTTTCTATCAGTATGCCTATTCAGACAGTGGTTTATGCAAGCAAGGTAGCTCTCTGGCATGTTTAAGTTGCCATGTATGTGTGTTCTGATTATTTTTTTTTTTTTCCTTCCTCTAGAAAATGGGTATTCCTGCTAAATTGATTGTTTGTGGAATGACCTCACGTGGTTTTACGATCGCAGATCCAGATGACAGAGGCATGTTGGATATATGTGGCTTTGATACAGGAGCCTTGGATGTTATTCGAAACTTCACTTTGGATTTGATTTAATTTTATAGGCATCTGCATTTCCCAGTGGGTCCATTGCTGGCAACAGACTTCACCCTGGGAACTTCCAGCCAAATATATACTATTAGAATATGGCACATTATATACATATCAGAATATACCTTTTGGTGAAGGGGAAACAAGGAAAGCAGATAAGAAATCACTCTTATCTGTTTTCCTGTTGCACACAATTTAAAAATAACAGTGGGAAGATTGCTAAAAGTAGCTACAGGGTTAGACAATACATAATTTAATTTCACTTATGATAGATTATAAGTACTGAGAGATTTTTAATTTTTCCCCTTCCTGTTGCTGTGGAATGCTTGTTTGCAAGAATAAATCCGTGAGTTCCTCTTAGGATAGGACACAAAAAAAAAAGGGTTAGTATTTTTAATAATATCAGTTTAATAGCAACTCAGTTCAGAGGTATTTTTCTTTGGGCTTTTTTTAATGTTTGTATTTTAAACAAAATTACTAAGGTTCAACAGTTTCCATTGTTACACTTCAAATCTACAAAAGTAGTATTTGCTGACACATGTGAGACCATGTGACTGTGATGCAGTATAAAAGCTACCCAGTGAAGTTTTATACTGGTAAAACTGAAAGTGCAAGAGATCATGCTAATATTTTTCTATCTAGATTATCATCTGAGTTTTCAGGAGTAAAGTAATTCTCTTTAGATAAGTTGAGGGGCAGTTTATGTACAGTTCAGTTTCAGAAGCACTATTTTAGAATTAATGAGCATTACAGGAAGTTCTAAAATCTGCTTTGAGTAGACAGATCTTGGAAGGGGCTAGGAAGCCACATTCACTCCGTGTTATAACTTCAGGAAGTATCAGCACACTTTCAGTGAGGAAAATCAACAAGTGCATGTGTCTTGACCTGCTCTTGAGAGCTGAGTAGTAAAAACCAGAAAGAAATAGCTACATTTATTTTTTTTTTTTTCAAAATACTATATTCAATGATACAGAAACAATCTTCCTAACAGGAGAAGTGTCTCAGTTTTTAAAATCTTTTTGTAAATAATGCTACTTCTGATTTCTTAATTCAAGCTAACATTTTCCAAAACTACCTCCAGTTTTTAGTGACCAATTCTTAGAAACTTTTATGATATGTACATTTGTCTTCTTCATGTTCTCAAAATCTTGTTTCAGAAGTGATTGAAACAGGATTTTTTTTTTTATTTTTTTAGTCTGGTAGTAAGAGTGTGAGTAGATAAGGAGAAAGCTAGTGAATATCTTTATCACTTCAGAACAGGAATTGATAGCAATTAATGTATATATGTATTTAATTCTGTGTGTGTGTTTATATCTGTGTGTATAAGGGGGGAAGTTAAAAGATCTCTTTAGTAGATCATAAACTTAGGAGGTGAGAAAGGGTTTTTTTAGTGATTATTTTAGAACTTCCCCTGAGACATAAGTATGTCAGTCTCTTTGCTAATTCTGGCTGTTTTAAACAGTTAATTTTATGTTAATTTGAACATAAATATGATTTATAAGAATAACCCAATTGTGGTAAATGACATATAAGATAATATTTTTCTGCCTAGACCCCACACTTAAATGTATAATCCAAGTTCATATTATACTTTTGATACTTGTAACACTTTTCATTATGCTTCACACATAAGTCCAAAGCTTGCATATTCCCTAGGATGGGTATGTCTTTTGGTGCTAAAATGTGAGGTTCCATGTTACTGAAGGTATTCTGATACATACTTAGACTCTATCTTCATTAATAAATCAAAACAATGAGGGAAATCTTTTCTGACTTTAAAACCATGGCTTAAAGAACTGATGGTAGGATTGTTACCTTTCAATGGATGTGAACATAGTTCTGAATTGTCATTGCTCAAGATACAGCTCTGGAATGCTTGCAGAATACAGGGCTGCCACCAGCTTGTCAGGTGGTATCTAGGAAAAACAAGTGTTCCTACAAAAGCTGAGACATAGCACTTTGAGTTTGAAAAAGAAAATTAGCCATTTCTTAGGAAAAATTTCTTACCCCTTTTAGTCTCTTTCCTAAATGAACACCATGAATATGGGGAGTAAATTCATTTGCTCAACAGGTTAATAATTATTTTCAGTAAATGCACTGATGTTTTTGGGGTTGGTTTTGGTTGTAATGTGTTTTGAATTACACTGTAGTCAGACATCTGATTAGGTGTTTATTTTTAAGCTAGGAATGTTGAAAATAACTGATAGATAAGTATCTTTTGCAAGTACTTTTTCTTATTTGAAGTAGTATTTGTGAAGTAATAGGAAATATTTTGGACTAAATATAAAATGAAAACTTAAACAGGAATTTTAAGTAACTTTGTGCAGTTAATTGCATAAATTTACTGCAAGGAAAATACTAACTTAGTTACTAACACATGGAATGAACAGTTACCGTAGTGTTGCATCTTTGAAAGCAGTCCAGTTGAAAATACTATTCCCTGAACTAGAATGTAAGTGAAGGTGAAATTTTCAGTAGAACTTAAGAGAAAAATGTAGCTCCCTGTATCTATTGACACTGGACAGCTATGTACCATCTTCAAGATAGTCATCCATGCTGGAGGACATAATATGCTCCTAAATATTTGCCATATCTCTGTAGTAAAAAGAACTTGTTAGAAGCAGAATATTCAGAGTGGTTTGGTTATATGATGTAGAACTGGCACCAATGAGGTCATGTTGTCATCTGCTCCTCCTTTAAGATTTTCACAGAGGGGAGGAATCATAGAATCATAGAATCTTAGGGGCTGGAAGGGACCTCGAAGGAAACTGAAGTAAATGCTGGCAGCTGAAACTTTATAGTGGTTTGACCTTTGTTTCTCCTGTTTTCTGTTTGATTTTGTTACTATTTTCAGTAAGGGGCATAGAAGAATGATGCTGTAAATCTCTTTTCCATAGACTGAATCTTGTATGTTTGCCCAAATACTGAATTTTAAGGGATAGCATGACTCATTTGCAATAACATAAATTTGTCCTGATTTTAGTTATCAAACTGATAATTTCCAAAATTATACCTGGCCATGTAGAGAGGCAATAATTACTGTTGTGTTTAAAAGAAAAAACAAAAACAATTAAGCTAAGACAAAGTTCCTAAGCTTAAGCATTAGTTCAGTGTACAATAAATAACCCGTCCTTTCATCAAAGAGGAGACACTGACTCTTTGAAGTTAATGGTGTTGCTTGCATTGGAGGAACACTTTGACTAACCAAACAAAAATGGGGCTACAATTTTGCAGTGCAGTGTACCAGCAAAAATTGAACAGTGTTCAAAAGGAGTTATTTTACTCAAAACATTTACTAAAAAAAAAAGTCTAAATGCAGAGTGCAGCTCTAGACTACGTGAATGCAGGTTTCCTGATATCTAACAGAATGAATGGGCTTTTAGTTTAACTGCTACTTCACTGTGACCCCCTCAAAAATTCTTAAGTATCAGACTATCATGTCTAAGACTGTAATGTTCAGGCACTTTAGCATTAAGGAGAAGATAAGGTATAATGGCTGGAAGCACAGCAAAGGTACAGCATTCTTCTGTAATGAGGGGTTGTAAGGAGTGAACACCAAAGGTTAAATTTCTTCACAGAATGGACACAATCAAGTATGTGGGGAGGGCAGAGGGCAAGTAAGAGTTTTTTAAAATCTTGCTAAAAAACCACTGTTGAGCCTGCTTGTTAAATGTAAATAATGAGGGAGGTTTTGTTCTTGTTCATTAGTGTTAATTTGGGCCTGTACATGGATATGGCTTTAAAAGGCTATTCAATGAATATATTCTTGGCTTAAAAAACACACCAGCAGTTTGGAAATGTAATTTAATAATGGCTCTGTCTATAAAAACACTAGGAAAATATTTTTCTCCAGTGCAAAATGCTTTGCTGCTTCATCACATACCTAACTCATAGCCACTGTACCAGATGGATTAGTAGGGTTCCATTTGTTTTGTTTCTTGTATTACCTTTTTGCTGTGACCTTCCTTTTTTCTTTTTTCTCCTTTCCCATCTCCTTGATACCTCAGGCCTATACTTGAATCTCTTTTCACATACAAGCTCTCATCCATTCCTTTTGTTTTGCCTCTGTTCTTCTGCCTTCTTGCTGTCATTAAGCATGCTAGTTTAGCTAAATAACTTTTACCAGAACTGATGTCATAGTATTTATCCTAATAATTTTTTTCTTTCATTACATAATTCTCTTATAAAAGATTTATTTTTGGTATCTATCAGGTTTTTTGGTAAAACTGTGTAAAGATCAGTGACAAAAGTATACTTTGTTTATTTACAAAAAAACCAAAATCTGCCTGTGGATGGCTTTACTTTTATAAAATAACTGCTTAAAATTGGCTTTTCAAAGGTAAAGCTTCTTTTTAGCATTAGATCTGTGGGTTGGAGCTTTCCATTCTGTTTAATATTATGAAGCTGCTGTTACATGCAGAATTTGGGAAGCTTTTAAATTAATATCCTGGATGAATGGGAGCCTCTTTGCAGTATTCACTAGAGGAAAACCTTCAAAGAATAGAGTGTAGAAGTAAACCTAATCAAAGAATAATTTGTCTTGCTTGTGCTTTTAACCTTTTTGCAAGCATTTCATCAGTTTATAGGGTTATTTGGCTATTTGCAGTGGTTCACAGTGGACAAATATGCTGTAAACGTTACTTTATTGCTGGAATGGTAGAGATTTCATCTTACCATGACACAGAATAGTGCATAACACTGCTAAGTAAGAATTATGGGGGAAGGGTAAAACAGTAGGACAGCTATTATGTGTGTGCTGCTCTGAGAGCTAGGGTTTAAGAATAGCTACTTTCAGCAGAAGGTATGGTGTCTTTTAATGTGTGTGCTTACATTTGGATTATAATTTTGATACTGTAAAGTGTGTTTTCTTTTAAGTATTTCTGCATTCTGAATTTGAGTTGAAATATATATTTGCATATATATGTGGTATGTTGAGAACTTTTAGAAGTGCTTCATTAACAAATAATGAATATAAACAGTTGTTTTCCTAATGCTACCAGCTTCTTAGACTTAAGCACAACTAGTTACATATAAAATGTCTTTTCTATTGCATTCTCCTACAAAAAGTGCAGTTCTACTCTTTAAAAATAATTCTGTATAAAGAAGCCACAGATGGATGCATTCACAGCCCTCTCTACTTAGTGAAATTACTTGGTGCTTGTTTCCAGCTTCTCATGCTTCTCAGGAGTGTGGCATTCAAGCTGGATAAGCAGGTATATCTGAAGTACAAATACAGATTCTTGTAGTGGATAATTTTTAGAATTCAGATCCCAGGGCAAACATTATTTTAAAATAAGCAGTTGTGTCGTGGAGACAATACTAAGCAAAAAATACAGAATTTTTAAATTACTATTTTTTAATCTTTCCCCCCCCCTTTTTTTTTCTAGAGTAGAACTACACTTGAACAGCCATACTGTGTTTAAGTAACTTAAACATAACATGGCTTTGTGCCATCCAATAACAAAGGCACTGTCTTGCTGCTACTTTCTATGAAATGATACAAAATTAATGAGAAATTAGTTGGATGGGGAGCCTTAATGTGGTTAAAAAGAAACAATTAACCCTTTGAGTGCCTTAAGACATACCTTCTTTAATAAATGGGCACTCACTTCGATATCTGCAGGCATACAGTGTTTTCTCAACTGTTGTAATAGAATATTGCCTTAAGTGACAATGCCCTGGGACTTCTGAAACTTAGAACTCAAAGGGTTACTTCAGACTACTGTTTGGGGACTTTTTTTTAAAAACGGGGAACAAAATTAAAAGTTCTTTGAACAATTCCTTTGCGTACTGTTACTCTTATTTTTACATGATGGATTTACCAGCTTTCAGGTGCAAGATTATTGTTAAATCTTCTCAGAAAACATAACTGGCCTAAGAATTCCACACAGAGAAAAAGAATACTTGGTTACCACTGTATGTGCAAAATGAATTGCTTTATTAAGTATAAATTTAGGAAGAAATACACATTCGTGTGTGTTTATCTTGATGAGTGTGTAAAGAAAATTTTAATACAGCAGTGATGAAACTAGCAAAATACAGTTAACCACAGTCATGAAAATATGAGGTCAGTGTGTTTAATTGGCTCATTACACATCTTAAAGATGCACAGTGCAAGCAACTGTATACTAATGATTTCTACAAATCATGTGGTTTAAACTTCTTGGACTTCGGACCTGCAGCACAGAAGTGAAGCTGTCAGATTCAGAAGATACTTTTCCAGTTATTTGAAGAGTAATGTGATGTTAGGTGCTTATGGTGCTGAAAGCAATGGAAATAACAGGAGGCTTATTCACAGGAGGGGAGAAAAATTAATTGACTGATGTTTTTATTGTAAACTGTGCACCTTTAGTAGTGTAATGGTCCCTTTTACTGAAGAGTGGGATGTAATTTTCTATTTGCATATGAACTTTCTTGAAATAACTGAGTCTTGACATTGCCTGGTCTGGCTTTGGATGTACATTGTACTGAAACTATGGAATTTTAGATGTTTCTTTTAGACATTTAACTGCAAGTTAAAATAACTCGTAAATGCATTCTGACTGTAGAATTTAAGTACTAAATAAACTCTATGCATATTAGAACTATTTTACTTGGTCTTAAGTTTCATAATAATGTTGGATTGATCCTAATGTAGTTTGCAGTGGCACAGTTTAGTGACAGGGAGCTGTCTGGCTCCCCCAGAAGGATATTCCTGCATGACACTTACTTTGTAGTGCAGAGTCAAGATGAAGAGAATGACCTGCTCCTCTAAAGCTGCAGCATTTTTTTTTCCCCTTTTCTATAGCAACAGGACATAAAATCTGGTAGCTACGTGATCAGATACCACCATGTGAGAGACAGACATGTCTACAACAGTATCCAAACTTGGTTTGCTTCATACTTTGTTAATTATTACAATTTGACATTCAGAGAAATACATTTAAATAATTAAATTAAATCATTTATTGTAGCTCTTGGAACAAAGCTAGAAAACAAACTAATTTGCAGAAAAAAAAAAAAGTTACTGGATTCTTTTTGTAAAATCTGCACTTCTCCATAGCATTAGAATGTAACAGCAATACAGTTACACCACCATGTCACACTTGGAGCCTCAAGAGTTACAGAATGTTTGTTTATGACCGTTTTGGTTGTGGTAAAGCTGAAGGAAGGACGCCAAGTATGTGCAAAGTCTAAAAAATCCGTGTCAGACAATGATCTATGATTCAAAAACCCCTCACTTGAAGTTGTTGAGTCCAGCTGATGCAGTGTGTCTTTCTTATCTTTCAACTTGTCTGAAATCCTGTTTATACAAAGGAAGCTAAGCTAGATGGTTGTCCGGGATTGTCTTTTATCTTGACATTGATGAACTAATGGAAGCAGTTTGCCTTCCTCATGGAGCTTTCGAGTATCTGTAGCACCTCCAACAAAAGTCCCATTGACAAACACTCTTGGGACCTATCATGAAAAATGCAAATTGCATTAGTTACTTCTTGGAAAAAAGATAAAAACTTAAGCAAGCCCTTGTGGGCTCAGGTATACACACAAAAGTTATGTTGTTATACATGCCTGTTCAGTACTACTGTGCAATTCATGAGTTTCCTTAACATTTACAGGGATTGGAAACTTTGTTCACAATCTCCCTCAAAAGTGGAATAAAGTTGCTGTATGGGACATGGTAATAAATTAAAATAATTTAGTCAAATAAGCCTATATAAAATTAATACATTTCAAGTGTTATACACAATGGATTAAATAAACCTATACAACTAAAAACTGACTTGATACTTCAATTAATCTTAGTGGCAGTACAGAAAAGGTGACCTCAGAGGGATAGCTAGAGGGTGACAAGAGGAAGAAACAGTACAGAATCCTTCTGCAGTACCTTGTCTTTAATTTAGGAGCTTGTACCCCAAATGTGCTTGTCTCAAGAAATTAAGACCTTTGTAAGGTTATAACCCATGAAGAAGGTGTGTAGTGTGCATTGCTTGTTCCACGTAGGAAAATGCACTTACCGTTCTGCCACCAGTCATCTGTTCCAGAATGTCTTGGAACTGACTTCCATTTGTATTCATGTCCAGTTCTATAGCTGTGTAATTTACATTCATATCCTCAAAAAGTTTTTTTGCCATTTTGCAGTAGCCACATGTTGTTTTAGAGAAAATCACCACACAGTTGTTGGAAATAATGTCCTGTATGTTTGGAAGAACATTCAAGTCAGTGTGCTTTGCTTTTAACTGTGTATTTTACCAGTATTGAATAGTCATGAAAACAAATACAAAAGTCTAAAATCTGCTAAATACAGGAAAATTAGTCTCTGTAGAATGCTTTCTGAGGGTTTTTTAACAGGAACAATGGAGGAGTTCCCAACAATGGCTGTTTACTTCTAAATAATCTTCCAAACACTACTTTATTCTCTGTTTTTTAAGGTGAAGTGAAAAGCTAATTGAGCTTCCTCATTCTAATCTATAGCCACAAGAATATTAAAGCTTAGAATGAACTACTGTGCTTTAAAAACAAGGAGCAGAACAGTGCTTTCCATCAAGACATCTGTCAAGAAGGTATCATTACCTGTATGGTGGGTGCAATACAATCCACCCCACACTTGTTCTAAAGTCCTCTGTGGGGGCCTAACACTTCCTTTAGGGATGCATCCCATGCTTACACATCAGAATAAAAACTGCTTCCCACCTCACTACCGAGCAAGTCAGATTTGACCTCAGAAAGTGCAGTTGCAGTTGGACAGATCCCAACAAGCCTCTGTGCACAAGTGCAGTAGGAGTGAAGGTGCAGCTTCAACAGTTAGCAGAACTACATCAAAGATGAAGTGACTCCTCCTGCTCCACTTAAGCTTTTCAGTACATGATATGCTTTATTCTTTGAGTAGAAAACCTGAAATCAGTTAAAACTTGGCAGTATCTAACTTTCAGGAATTTTCTTCCTGTGGGAGCAGAGAAATAGAGGAGAGTTGCCAGTAATTAACAAACCTCCACCACAAGGCACTGCTGGCATCTGCCAAGCTGTGTCTGAGCTGCCCTTGTTGACTCTAAACCCAAGCAGAATAATTGTGGTGCATGTGGTGCACCTGGGATGTAACTGTGCCAGTCCTGAACCCTCTTCTGCTGTGCAGTCACAGCCCTCCTACGCTCTGCCAAACAAGCTCCTTGGACTATTTAGTGCAGCTTTCCCTGTCCCTAAGGCAAATGGGATGGGCTGGTGGCCAGCACGGGGACAAAAAGGGTTCTGAGTGGGAGAAAAATACCCCCATTACTTTAAGGTAAGTTCAAGGTGATTTCAGGCTATCATTTAGTATCAATACATTTACAAAGAAACTCTTAACCTACTTACTTTACTTGCTTATCAGTAATTTTACAAGGTTTAATCCCCAATATTGACAGCAGTATCAAATCTAAGTATAGGTCTAAAAAAAACCATAAAATGGATGCAGCCTGGGAAGATCAGGGTCCAGGGCTGTGGGTGAACACGGCTGGCAGTATTACTTCATAAATATAGGAATCAGGTTCAAAAAGCAGAATTATTTCCCACATTTCTTTGTATAAATCAGCACAGCTTCTAAGTAACTCTGGCTTTTAGCAATTCTGCAAAGAAGTAAGAATTCCAGACAACGTTACCTGTATTTGATTCACAGCTGCAGCATTAGACAATCCCACAGAAGCAGGCAGACTGTTCCCCATTCTAAAACCGAAAAGAAACTCAAGTCAGATAACCGAGCTGTCCAACAGGCACGTTTCGTAGCTCACAAGTTAAGGTTGGCTTCGCGCTGGTTTCAGTGCTTAACGTAACTGAACGTGGGTTCGCCCCGGCTGCAACCGGCCCGCGGGGAGCGCACCGGGGACGCTGCTCTTCCTCGGTGACACCGCGGATGCGGGTGTCAAACCTGGCGCGGGGCTCCACCGAGCGGCACAGCCCCGC